CCCCCCCCCCCGTCTGATTCTTAACTATATATTTCTGCTTTATTTTTCCGCTTTGTATGATATAATTGCATAGGTTTATTTGGTACTCTGGTCCTAGCCTCGTCACTACTTCACTGGGGTTAGGCTAGACACTTACCATCACATAAGGTCTGTTGTGCTGATACTACATTCTGCGCTGTGTGCAGATCCCGAAGTAGCAGCTATTGGACCTTAGCTTGGGTGGATGCTTTCAGTCCATACGGAGATCCAAGTTAGTCTTGCAGGCGTCCGCAGGCCCTGACGTCTCCTTCTATCTTTTCTTCCCGTTTCACTTATGTAATTCAGAAACAGTGTTGCATTTATTTTTTGGACCTTGATTGTAGAATTCTTAGACTGTCTATGGAGTTGTGACATCAGTCTTGGGTAGTTTTTGATTAAGAAATCATGTTGGAATTATTTAAATGGTTTAATTGTTTCTTTCGCTTGTTTTAAATTTCCATTGTTATAAACTGTTGATTCACACTTGTTAAAGAATTAAAATGGAAAAAAGGTAATTTGTTCAAATGGTCGGTTTGCCTAGCTTTCACTAGTAGGCGCCATCACGACTCCCGAGAGTGGAAAATTCGGGTCGTGACAGATGGGCTGGATTTATTTACGTCATTTCCCTTTCATATCCAAATTTCAGGGAGTGATTTGTGGCTTCGATTTGGTTGATCAATCTTCTGATTCCAATTTAGTCTTTGGCGTATGGCCTGACATTCTCTAGCAGGTGCACTTGATATGTTTCATTGTTCAGGCAGCCTCGATATCCTTTGATTGAAACTAAAGCATTTGGACTGATTTTGTTTTCTTTTTTATGGCTTTGACACGACTTTTACTTCCTGTCATTTAGCATTGTTTATATTGTCTTTAAACTTTACTTGTGCTACTTTATGATTTCCTGCAATCAAATAAATACGATTAGATTTGCACTATTATCATTATTGAAACTTATATGTAACAAGGATAATCCATTTTGGTAGATTAAAAAATTACACTTTGAATGTATTTGGTACGATGCAATTCTTTTGTCATTGGAAATTTTGTTACGATATATACTTTGTTGGTTAATGAAAAAAAAATTCTGAAATATATATTAAATATTAATGTAATATTAATATCAGCAATCAGAGAGTGTATTGTTACGGTTTATGTGTCGATGGAATTTTTATCTTCTAATTAAAAACTAAGAGGGCGTTTGGCTAAGCTTATAAGCTGGTCAAACTAGCTTATGAGCACTTTTCGGCTTATTTACGCGTTTGCTAAAGTTAAAAGTGTTTATAAGTCAAAAATAAGTCATAAGCTGGCCATCCCCAGCTTATGAATTTATAGCTTATAAGCACTTTCAAATATTTTATCCTATTTAGATTTATTTTTTACTGAGAAATTTTTATCAATTTATTATTATTATAACAACAGAGAATCCAAGCAACTGTACTATTTCATTCTTTACATGGTCAGTCACTCCTCCAAAGTATATGCTACTCTTATTAATGTTGGCAATCAATCCAGATGCTTTTGAGAATTGCTGGAAGTAATCAAATAGCAATGAAGCTGATACCACATCTCCTCTGCAAAACATGAGTAGGTCATCTGCAAATCCAAGTTGTATTATTCCTAACTTCTCGCATCTAGGGTGATAATTAAACTCTGGGTTCTCCTTTAGTGTTCTGAGTAATCTGGTGAGATACTCTATGACAGGCACAAACAGATAAGGAGATAATGGATCACCCTGCCTAAGTCCTTTTTTGCCTCAAATGGTGGTGTTAGATTTCCCTTTATAACAATAGAGTAAGAGATTGTTCTGATGCATCTGTTAATCCATGTTATAAACTTTCCTGGGAAGTTCATACTTGACAATATCTGCTCCAAAAAATTCCATTCCAGTGAATCATAAGTCTTTTGCATATCCACTTTGATCATTATCCTTGGTGATACTCCTTTCAGCACTTATAAGTGTTTTTCAGCATCTAATGCGTATCGGCTACTTCAAATAAGTTAATCCAAACGGGCTCTAATAATAATAATAATAATAACAACAATAACAATAATATTTTAATTGCTAGCAGGAGCAAGTAACATAAAGTTGAAAGTTAATTCCATTTTCCCTTCTTAATGGAAAATGTTTTTATTTATTATCTCGTAACCAAATACCAAAAAGTGTCTTTCTCATGAAAAGTATTTCTTTTGAATTCCTTTGTGGGAAGACTAATTCAAAATTGAAATAGGAGACTTAAATTATTTAGGATTTGATATTTAGTAGTTTATTTAATTTATGTTTAAATAGAATATTAATTAGAAATAAATTTTTTTAATTTTTAGTTAATAGGTTTTATATTATTATGAATAAAGATGTTACTTAGCCCATTTTATGGGTGAAAGATAAGAATTGTAAAAATCATTTAGAAATCTATATTAAAATATTTCCGCTTAGTCGTATTAACACATCACTTCATATACATTTCAAAAGATTTTGTTTGGCAAAAGTTAAAAGTCATCATAGTTTCGCAAAAGCTGATGTAAGTTGGACGAATAATCGCGTTAGATTTTAATTCAAGAGCGGCCATAATCAATGTTTTAAAACGCGGGGCTGTAAGGCGAGACGTTTACCTTTAACGAGGCGAGGCGTATACCCTGAGATATGGGGCGTAAGTACTACAGATCTTTAAATTTTACTAATTTCAAGAATTTTAAGATAGTATAAAATAAAAAATAATTATAAAAAAATTACATTAAAATCACAGAATTATAACAAATAATCTATTTAAAATATCTATAAATTATAATTCAACTATGAATAATACGAAAAGTATGACATATATCATAATATACAAATTAGTTGCAACGACGTTACAACTCAAACATCAAAAGTAATGTGTTCGATACGAAATTTTAGATGTATCTCTTAAAGAGTAATGAATCTTGAAAGAATTTCGATATTATAATTTGATGTTTTTCTAAAAATACTTTTTTTATTTAATATACTTTCTATTTGAAAGAGAATTTATATAAAAACATAATTCACAATTTAAATATGATTCTCTAACATCATTTATTTTTAAGTTTCAATAAGTCAATAAAGTGACATATAATTAACCATACAATACCATGATAACTAATTATTTGTAAATAGTTACTAGCTAATACTGAGCTATTAAATTAATAAGTATTGTATCTCGTAAATGCGAAAAAAATAATATTTAGAGAAATAATTATAAAAAAATTATGGATCATTATATAGCAAAGACATAACAAAAGTTAGTAAATAAATACTTTTTAGATAAAATATTTATTTAAAATTAACTATCATAGCAGTCTTAGTGGATAACGTGCAATAATTTTTATTTTAATTATGACATAAAATACTCTCAACTTAATGATTTATGATTAAGAAAAAAGTAATTTTGAATAGTCAACGATTTATTAAGAAAATTTAAGAATTTACAAGGTTAGTTACATACAATTGCATAAAGTTCTATTAGGCGGGCCCAGTACATTGGGCGTTGGGCGTGTCCGAGGCGTAAGCTGCGATGACCGAGACGTAAGTCTCACGGAACAAAGCTCCACACATAAGCCCAGGAGCATTTTACGAGTGCTCTGCTCCAAGGGGAATCCCAATTCCACCTTTTAAAACAGAGGCCATAATTACCCATAATTATAAGGTGAAAATGTATCGCTCAAGAGTTCGTGACTCTTCAATTATATTGGCTATTATTGGAATAATTATTGCTATTAATTTTTATATCAACAGGTTAATTAAGGGCTTAGGCAGTCGCCTCCTACTCCAGCTTCTTTACTCAAGTCCTACGTAATATTTTCCACACTCCAACATTTTGACGTTTTGTACATACCCTTGTCTCTTAAGTACGGCTACGTTCGATTTAAAACAAAAATATAATTAATAAGGTTTAGTATTAAAACCAAATAAGGATGTACTTTGCTCTTCTAGACCAACCAGATTAGGTTTGTTGATTTTGGAAAGTATCTTGAGGCTGATTTTCAGGTGCCGTTTCCTTTTAATATTTGAATTATATAAACATAAAATGTAAAAAAAGTTACACTACCAGTGTTTTAGACCTCTAATAATAAATTAGTTATATTCTCATTTGGTTACTAATTAATATCTTTATGAAGATATTATCTATAATAACTTATAAATGGAGTAAATTATTCGATGATATAAATATGTTTTACATGTAAATACAAATCAAATTAAACTTTTTTAGAACATTGGCAATATATTAACCCATCTTTCTTATATAAGAATTAATCTAAACACTCGGCAGTTGTTGTTTTCCAGAACAAAACATTAAAGATTTATTTCTTCCAAAAGTGATTTTCAGTAAATTTTCAAATAATGATACAGTATCCAATAAGGCCCAGAATAAAAAAATGAAAATGGTGATGTCCAGATGGTCCCAAAAAACAAAACAAATAAAGGTTGTCATACTATAAGGTCCAAAACACAAAAAAGAATAGTACAAAAAAATATCCACAAGGTCCAAATAATATTCCAAGTCAGATGTACGATTGCATGCATGCACACCACGTGGATAAACCTCCAAATCTAATATGCCAGCTCATCCCTTGCTTTCGCCTAGATTCTTTTCCCTTTAGTTTATTTATCGTGAATTTCTCAACAAATTCCAATTCACCTAGTTTATTTTTTTCCTTCAAGATTTCAAATTGCTAAAATCCAGTTCAATTTGCGGAAATTCAGGAACTGCACGGAATGTACGTAAAAAGATCATTAAAAAGTACAAGAGTTATCAACAAATATAAATTATATTTAAAATCATAGAAATGCAGTGAGTAAAAACTAAAAAGAGAACAATTTAGGCAATTATAGCAAAACAAGAAATTATTATTGAGTTAATGCAAGAATAATGACATGATAACAAACAATTGGTTCACATCAAACTTGAATATAACACAATTGACTCCACAACTCACTCTCACTTTCCAACAAAATGAAAATGACAATTACATCTTAATTGACAGACGACTCAGAATTCTTACATTGATTAATAAGGCAAAAAAATTAAATAAGCTTTCGATTAGTAAATTAAACAGCAACACATCCTCCCCTCGGCCATCTCATATATACAAAGATATACCCTTGAAATATATATGGATGGTGCAATAGCAGCAGCAGCAGCTAAAAAACAGTACTTGAACTTGAACTTGTATATACAAAAATCTTCTTCAAATCTTAATAATTTATCATCATCATCATCTTCACCTTTTGCAGGACCACAAATCTCCATTAATGGCTGGCCCATAAACTCCATTAATTTTTTTTTAGGTCAAGAGATCATTGACCCAACCAAAATCTGGCCCACCTAATCCATTCTCATTGTAGTATCTGTTTGTTGCATTGTTCTTGGTATCTTCTACAAAGCTCATGTTGGAGCTAGAAACTGGACTAAAGCTCAACCCGGAGCTAGAAACTGGACTAGGAGATGGAAAATCCCTAGTGTAAAACTTGGTTCTTGAACTAGAAACTGGACTTGGAGATGGAGTTGAATAAGGAGAAAGAAGAAACTGATGTTGATCATCATAATTATTAATATTATTGTTGTTGAAACTCACATCCAACCATGGTAATTTCCCATCAAAATTATTAACAGCAGCAGCAGCAGCTGAAGAAGAAGAAGAATTGGCTTCATGATTCGCATTCACATTCATAGCTTCTAAAGAGCTAACCAATTCAGTAAGTGCATCCTTGTAACTCATTAATCCAGCATGATCCAGCTGACCCATTCCACATGATGATTCTACACTCCCAAAACGATCACTGTAACGTGACATAGGTGATGAGAACTGAGTTTTTGCTGGGGAAAGTGGCGGCGACAGAGATGGAGACATAGGCGGCGACATATGTGACATACCCATTAAAGTAGATGTAGGAGAAGCAGAAACAGAGTGACAAAACATACAGCAATGGTTAAGATTTCTGTACTTTTTCTCAACTGGAGAGTTTCTTGGAGATGAACCAGGACCACTACTTTCGTGACAACTAGGTGGCAGAACACGAAGTTGACGTGGAGTATGTGCAAAGAAACAAACCTTGCGTTTGCAGTTTTTCCCATCTTTGCATGCTTCAGTCCTGTACCGAGTTGGGTGAAGCCAACATTCAAACACCCCGTGTGCAAACTCACAGTTATCACCTCGGCTACAATTTCCTTTACGGAATTCAGAGCAAACAGTTCCAGAATAATGGAATCTTCTTGGGTCTCTCCGACGAGCTTTCTCACCAGGATGAGCGAAAGGGCAGTCAGTCCAGTCGTGGCTGCGGCTACGAGTACAACGGCGGACCTTGAACTCGTACATACGAAAGTGGTCGGAAGAGTACGGATCAGAATCATCCTCGTCAAGGCTGTTGTAAGGCAAGAATTTCTGGAAAAGGGTGTCTGAATCTGATTTAGGTGAGTCCATAAACATGTCGGAGACAGGGTCGGCGGAGAGATTAGAACGGCGGCTGAGGAGTTTTCTTGGGGGAATGTCAATATCACGAAGAGATTTCTTGTTAAGGTAAAGTTGGTGAGAGGGATGAAACTTGTGATGATGTTGTTCAGCACAAAGCCCTTCCATTTCTAGGGTTTTCAAGAAATATTGGTGGATTGAATAGAGAGATTTTTTTTAGAGAGTGGGGGACATGAAAGTAATGTTGAATGCAAGGAAACAAGAAGAGGAATGGGGATCATTTATACAAACACAAAATGAAATGATAATATTATGAAAATAATATAGGTATAGGGGAGGGGGGTTTTGGGGTGGTGGGGGTGGAGAGTGACGAGGATGGTGTGAGGTATGGGCAAAGAGATGCGTGGCTGCATAGTATTAGGGATTGGCATGCAAAGAGAGATATGTGGAAGCTTGACACTTCGTCTCTACTGCATGCAATATTAGTTCTTATGAAAAAATCAGTCCAGTCCTACCTTTTGTTTTTAGTATTTTTTTTTAAGAGTGGTTTTCTTTTAAAATAATTTTTTTTTATTTTGAAAATTACTTTATATTAACTAAGTCATAAAAAACGTTACTGGGAGCCGTGGGCATCGAAACAAGGATCTTATGAGTTCTAGTACCGGCCGTGCTATGCCGTTGTACATTACAAGGGGAAATAAAACTACTACTACTGTATAGAAATAGAACTATTACTACTACTGTATAGAAATAGAACTATTACTACTACTGTATAGAAATAGAACTATTACTACTACTGTATAGAAATAGAACTATTACTACTATTACTACTCCTTTGGTTATCTTCGTGCATGGTAGCTGCTCTATTAGGATTTGTGCTTGTTGAAGGTGTTGCATTTTGGGTGCCAGAGGAGGGTGATGAGTCCATACAAAAAGTGTTGCTTCTTGGTATCCATCTAGTTTGCCAATACCACGCTTGTCATTCAAAAGATCCTGCTATATGAAGTGAGGAGAATCTGCAAAAAAGGTGATAGGAGTGCCTTCCAGTTCCATACCAAAATGTGCAAGTTTATCTGCTACTATATTTTGCTCCCTGTAAGTGTGGCTGAGTTAATGCTGTATTCTGGGCCGGGGGGCCTAAATGGGCCAAACGGGCCGGGCTTAACGGGCCTGGGCTTAGCGGGCCTGGGCTCTGGCGGTCCCAGGCCTCACGGTCCGGGGCTTCGTGGGCTCAACGGGTGGAACCAGCCCGTGACGGGCCTAAGCCCATATGGTCCTGGGCTAAACGGGCCGGGCTCGTGGGCTTAGCAGGCCTAACGGGTTTTTTTATTTCCGGGCTTTTTTTTAATTTTTTTTTGTTTAAGGCAATTTCTTGTAAACCATATCATGGCTATATAAAAAATATATATGTAGTATATATGTAGAAATCTAATTATT